GAAAATACATACGGGTCGTCGGTCGCCCCTCCATCTTGAAAGTACATTAGCCAAAGAGGGACATAACCGTTAATTCAAGCTTCGCCTTTCGTGTTTATGTTTGAGTTAACATGCAAGGACGAGGTCGAACTGGAAGCCATGTTAATCTTGGACTACATTGGTGGCCAATGCAGTCCAAGATTAACATGGCTTCCAGTTCGAAGCCAGTGTTAAAACAAAAGTTAAAACAAAATCGGAATTGAGAGGAACAGAAACTAAGTGTTTTTAGATAAGAATAAACTAAAAGAGTTACACAGTGTAGCTTTAAATTGACAAAACAAAGTAGTTTTATTTTACAACAATTTCAAGACAATTTTAATAGTTGGAAGAATCTGAGAATGCATCAGGTTTCATTGAATTTTCTAAATTCCCTTTTTGTTATTTTCCCTTTATGTTATAAAAGCTTTCTTGCATTTTATTGGCTGAAATGACCAAGTTCCTTTTGGACTCAGCTGTCATGTGAAGTTGCATGTGTGCATTCGTGAATGACAATGTGCATCTCTGACCCTCACCACTTAGCGCAGGTGTGAAGGAAGAGAACAGATTTTCTCTTCTGCTCTCCCTACTGCAGTTTATTCGCAGATCTCTTATATCAGTTAGATATTGCAGTATTATTTCTAAAGAGCAGATAGGATCAGATTCTCATGGAGGAAAAAAGGTTTAAGTTGTAAATCGCTTCCTCTTAATAGCATTGCTAATTAGCCTAAATAGAGTTTTATGGTGGCTAAAGTATATTTAGTTATTTGTATGCAATACTATTAGCATATTTATGTGCTAAGTTGTTAGCATATTGGCTATTGTAAGACTGCTTTGCATGTGGCTCATCCAGTGAGAATTTATGCATTTTATAAAAGATCTGTTGATAGAAACATATGTTTATCTATGATTTTAGTAGCATGGTATAACAATAGCACTCTTGCTGAAATAACACAGCCTAAACAAGCCTTAGTTGGTTTGTCTCTTTGCTGAACACAAACTTGTTCAATCTGGGAAACCATGCAGCAGAGACATGACATATCCACCTGAATAGACAAAAATAATTACAAAAACATCACTAATCAGTGATGCATGGAAAACCAGACCTTCATATACTTTGTTTTCTAATGTAAAAATACCTTCTTTCCCATCAATGAGGCACAAATCTTTAAAAGTAATCCAAAGAATACCACAAATCACCTATTCTGAAAGCACTAGCCATCATACAAATCTCATGGCTGTTACAATCACATGGCTGTTATATGTTGGCATAAGTGCATTTGTGCTGTCACCTCATTGGCACCCATGTCACAGAGGTTTCTATGTTGTTGTGATAAAGCTTGACATATCCCCATATGACAGCGACACAGCAGCATGTGTTGGGGAGGCTGTGAGACACTCTGACAGTCTGTGATTCTAAGAAGAAGTGTATGGCTGAACCTCTCAAACCAGTGCTGCTCCTTCCTCATTTTCTTTTACATAAGCTGTGGGTCAAATACAATTCTCCAGACTGGCAGTGTCTCTTTTGGTTTAATTAATTAACTTAATGTGTTCCAAAACAATGACAAAATTCATATTTAGGAGAAATAAGAATTCAAAACTTACAGTCTCTCACTTCCGCTAAAATGGATCACGAATTGTTATGATGTCACCCCGGACTTCAGCTTGTCATCACATCTTCTGTCCAATCAAATGCTTATCGCGATAAGATAAGATTCCGGCAACAAGCTATTTGCCTGCCCACACCAGATGCAACACGACTATGAGATGCGTCAAATCAATCAAAACCCACAGCCAATCAAAACAGCGTGAGGGCGGGCTCTCGTGGCAAGTGAACAGTATGGCACTTGCGAGAAAATGGATATTTACATAATCAAATTCACAAATATTACACCATTTAAACATTATTAAAAATACACACTGAGTTACTAAAACAATCTTTGCCAAAGAATAGACTTTGTTTCTTTCACCGTTTGAACGTTCTTGTTTCCATTTGTTTAATTTCAAGATCCGAGGTAGGTGAATTATCAATTGTTGCTGTTACGGCAACAAAGCTGGGAGCTTTAAAAATGATATTCAAAGTCACTTTACACGCTTTTAACATTAAATAAAGCACATAAACTAGATTTACGTTGCCATACATCTGTTGTTTCAGCAGCAACGTCGCAGAAAAATAGAAACTATCTTAAATTACAGAAAAAAATACAGCATTTTCCCCACTTTACTGTTTTTGCTACACTATAGGCTAATCAAGTTAAAAAGAGAGGGAGTGACAGAAAGGAAAGCAAGAGGCTAAGCGATTGAATCACGAGAGATAGATGGAGAATAAAGGAAGGGATTGAGGCGAGGAGAGAGGATGGGTGAGAAAAGAACACAACTCATTTTACTTTGAGGGAATGTAATCTATCTGTCCCTTGTTTACCTGTGTGATTTCAGTCTCTCAGGCCCCCTTATTTTGTTCAGGCTCGTATTGTCTTTTATTAATATATTGCGTTGGCACAGCAAGATATTGGTTTGAGATGATGTTGTTATTATATTGTGGTGTTTGTGTGTGTGTCTGTGTGTGTGTATTTAAGTTAGTGAGTGAATGTGTGCGCTACCTCTTCATATGTAAAATGCACAACGGACCACATTATTTACTTCAATGGCATATGCATTATGCATGCTTTAAACACGGTTGCCTGGAAATTCGTATACATTCACTCTGAGGGCTTTCATATATGTCAAGGCCTTGTTCTTCAAGCAGGCACTCATATTTCCCAGTGAGACCATCACTACATTCAAGATTTTGCATTCACTTTAACTGATTACAGCACTCAAGTTATCCACAGGTGGTTATACTCAAAAGGGCATTTTTTTTTTTTTTTTACTACAGAGTGTTGACTTGAATATCAAAGTGCAATGTGGTATTTACCATGGTTCTCATACGGACGAGGGTGGCACAGCCTTACCCATGAGATCATACAAAAAAATAAAAAATTCAAAAAAAATAAATAAATAGCATGTTCCACACAAACTAATTAAAGCTCTAGTTTTGTACATATGTTGCCTTTGATTTTTGTTTACTTGTAACTGTGGTTCTATCATGACAACTCTCTGGATATTTTTAGCATGGTATTGCAATATGACAGTGTTAATGTATTGTCTTGGCGAATAGATTTGCTACGCTGATGTTGGTTGCTGAATTATAGCGGTCTCTAATGATATGTGTTGGGTTCTATTGGTGGGGGCATTAAATCCTAATGGAATATGTCCTAAACACACTACAAAAAAGAATTCTGTAGTGGTTTAAATGGTACCTTGTGGTATTTTAGAAACCATTAGAATTTATGTGATGTTTCCAACTTTTTTTAAGCTGTTCTGATCTTCTGTCCTTGTCTAAATAAATAATTACACACACACACACACACACACACACACACACATCATGCTTAATGTTTTATTATCAAGGTGAACACAAAATTCATCAGTATCTGCAAAATTCACCTACATAAATGAGTTTCACAGCAATGACACTGTTTCAGCTTTGATCGCCTTGGTAAATGCGTAATAAATAGGGCATTAACATGCATTATTTCCCAAAAAAATCATTACAACAAAATAAAAATAATTTTTTGGGCCTATGAAAGAGGTCAAATATACAGACTATAACTAAAGCTCTGACCATAAGAAACTCAAAAATACAACTGACCTCCAAAAAAACAAAAACAAAGGGAACTTGTATATTGTATACTTGTAACCAATTTTGACACACAAGAGAAGACTAACACCAATTACTACATATGACAGAAATAACAGGAAAATCTACCCAAAAACGTATTACAAAAAAGAAATTTACTTTTACATAACTCAAAATACTCATAATTGAAATACTCAAAATATATAAGAAGAAAATATAGCTACCCCTGTGGCCATCACAGCCATAAAGAGAAACAGTTCTAAAGGAGCAATACATATTGCTAATACAAGTGCAAATCAAAAGATGTCTGCATTAAATATCAAGCACCATCACCATGGAGATCACTCGGTCCTTATAAATGGACAGAAATAATGAAACATCTGACTGTCAAACAAAATTGCAATTTTGTTACACTTGACAGAGGTTGTCAGAGTGGATTTAAATTTAATATTCACAAAGTTGGTGTCAAGAGGAATCTTGAGTTTTGCAAGAAAAAAAAACTGATAAAACAACAGTTTGCAAACCTTTAAGGAGACTGAATCAAATGCTGTTTTAAGACCTCTTCAATCTTTTTTTTCCCCAAATGTATTCCCAACAGTTCTACAAGTTAAAGGTAAAATTTTACGGTTTTTAAAATGGGTTGAATTTGCGAATTTTGCCATCCTCAAGAGAATACTTTAACATATTTGGGACTGCATGGTCTTGTTTGAACGGAGCCCCCTAAAGGGACCTTTGCAAAAATAAAATTGTACAGACTTTCAAGTGCTTACCATAAACGTATCTCATGCTCACAAGAAACTGTAGCATGCTTTAGTAGTTTCTTGTGAACATGTTAAAGTCTGTATTTTTTTATTTTTGCAAAGGTCCCTTTAGGGGCCCCTATGTCTTGTATTTTGTATATATATAGTCTTATTCATTTTCTTGTTCCATGCTGCCTTCAGTGTCTACATGCACCTTATGTGGTGAGTCTTGCTTATTGTCAAGTAGTCTGTCTTTTGTTGAAATAAGTATTTGGGTTTTCACTTTTTTTTAACTTTAAAGTAAAAAGCTACCTCCAAGCACAATGGTGAGTGGTTCACAACAAATCTTGGGGCAGCAACATCCATACATACAGTATACAAAATAGAGGAGCTAAGAGAAAAAAAAAAGTCTTATCAGACATGCATGTCGCTGATGAGTAAATAAGGGTACTCAAATCTAATGTATTTATTAATGTGAAAGTCACTGATTTTGGAATGTTTTCCTTACTTTGTGTCATTTTCTTTCCAGTTTGACTAGTTTTTGCATCAGTTGAAGGCAACACCCAAGCCGATGAATTAGTCACATGGCATTTACGCTTGAGGTTGGCTCAGAAAAACCTTGTTGTGCACCTGGATGAACGTGAACCAGTCCTGCATCTGGTTCAACCTCTATCTCCAGGTATAGACCTCCTTGGCAACACTTCTGAATGTAAGTATTTCAAAATCAGTCAACAGATGGTGTAATTTTGCTGCATGGGGATGTTTCTCAGATGCTGGTGTACGGTTTACTCAAATGAGGTGTTGTTGTACAGAATATAACATTATTTGAGGCTAGGTGTTATGTGTCCACATGTCAGATGGAGCCAGAAATGGGTGCTGGAAGTGTTACTTTATCCTAATAGCTCAGCTGTCGAATGAGAATGCTGGTTATTTGCTTTCAGGTTCTAGCAGAAACAAAAAAAAAAGATGGATCTCGGAAACCATAACAGCTGGATAGTTAATCATCACCGTCTTCAAAGCAATTTTTTTAAGAGCTGTCCTTTACTGTATACCCTAGGCAGAACAAAGAAACTGCAAGAAAAGACTGCAAGGACAACATATTCATCCTGTAAGACAATGGAAAGTGTGTGCGTATAAATGCATAACCATATTTGTCAAAAACGTCAACTTTCTGAAAGTGTTGTTGACTGAGATATGCGTATATAATTGTGTTCCTTATTTTGAGGATTGTTCAGCAATTGAATGCGCACTACTTTGGTTACGCTGTCAAATTTGCAAGATTTTGATTATGTACATGTATTATATTGCCAGTCCTCTTAGACATGGTGTTAGGAAACACAAAGGCTCAACATGGGGTGGACCCTCTTTCCAGCACAAATAATCTAAGCTTTGCATTGTAGCCTACTGCAGCTGTCACAAAACCACATGCATGAAAAATAAAAACAACTAAGGAAATTCATTGATCAAGTAGGCCTGCGAATGAATGTAGATTTTTTTTTTGTTTTTGTTTTTGAGAAAGAGCAATATTAAAATCAATGAAAGGGAAGACACAGGGAGAAGTTGAAAGCTTTATAATTCTCTTGTGTGTTTAACGCCTTAAAGGTAGGGTATGGGATTTGCACAACTCAAAAGGTCCTACCTTCTTTCCTCCAGTGTTGGCCCTGACTCCACCCATTCGAAGAACATAGACGAACAATCATGCATCTGCAAAACTTAGATGCGCGAGATTGTGCTTACTCTCTATCTCTCTGTACCGGGGCGGCTTGCACTTTACTGTGACTGGGTCACAAGCTTTGAGTATGTGCAAGACTCAATTCGTGCCATGAAGGGAACACGCGCACGCGAGAGGGGGTTATCCGCAACGTAAAAAAATAAATAATTAAAAAATGTAAAAAAAGTCAAATTTTGAGATTAAAGTCGAAACATTACGAGAATAAAGAAGTAATATTTTGAGAATACAGTCAAAATTACAAGAAGTTTTCCCGAGAGGTTTGTGTGTGTGTGTAAATAAATTTACTTGTGAAGTCGAACCGCCTTTTTACTTTTATCCAGGCTTTCAACAAAAGGAAAGTCTACAGATGCTAATCTAACAACATGGCTTCACTATTTCTTTAGAACGTTACAAAATATGGTAACACTTTATTTTGATAGTCCCATTTGAACATCCTGCTGTCTAAAAGTAACTTTGCAACTACATGTCAACTAACACACATTAGAGTATCAGTAGACTGTCTGCTTAATATCTGCCAACTCTTTATTGTGATGCTCCTCCAACAGACAATCTGCTGACTATAAGTAACTTTGCAACTACATGTCAACTTATTCTATCCCTAACCCTACCAGTCTACTAATTCTCTACTAAGACTCTAGTGAGAGTTAGTAGAGATGTAGGAGCTATGTTACTTATAGTCAACTGAACGTGTTAATGGGACCATCCACATAAAGTGAAACCCAAAATATAATGAATATAGCCTACTTTACAGGTGAATCCGGTCAAATGATTGGATACAGAATGCCATCCATCTTCTTCCGCTTATCCGGGGGCAGCAGTCTAGGTGCTAAGACTTCCCTCTCCCTTCAGCTCTTCCAGGGGGACACCAAGGCGTTTCCAGGCCAGCCGGGAGACATAGCCCCTCCAGGTCTCCTCCTAGTGGAACGTGCCCATAAACTGCATGCAAATTAATTTAGGCAGTCAAAATATTGACCTGTCCCTTTAAATCCCATGGGTGTGAGCATTAGCTGTTGGTAAAAAAACAAAAAAAACATGGTGTGCTGATGTAAATGTAGTTCTCTTACGAGAACGCCTCAGAATGCCTCCTAGTTTTTGCCCAGCACTGTCTACGCTCGCTGAGAGCAACACATGTGACGGGGAACCTGAACGATGGCCCTGAAAGAATTTCCAGGTTTCCAATATTCCCCCTGGGAGTGGTCTCTACACCCCCAAACAGTCCAGTTGATATGGCTCCTTTTCAGCAGAGTGGAAGTCGAACTATTAGCGTCAGAGGACAACGCTCATTGCTCAATGTTCTTCTCGAAGAATGAGGAAACTCTTGCCCAATTCTGGCCCAGCTGCCCTCTGTACGCTTTTCAATGTTACCACAGGTAATCAGGAGAAAAAGGAGAATCAGGGAATCAGCCCCGCGATGGGAGAACCAAACATGGTATCTCTCAAGCTCGCGGCTTGATCTGGCATCCCCATCGAGAGCACTGGTCTCTGCATGTATGGTTAATCACCTAAAGGATCACGCAGTCTAAAGCTCCCTCTATGAGATGGCTCTATGCAGGGGTGACTATGGGAGTGATTTCGAACTATGGTCTGTGTTCTCCAAATGGTGCACCGACAGAAATCTGGACCCGGGTGAGGTCTCGCAGGTGCTCGCTTTCCTTCAAGAGCCACTTGAGCGAGCTGTGACGCGTAGTGGGCACAGTTGCCGCAGAGTGTCCAATGAGCACACTAGACAGCCTGCTATAGGTCTGATAGATGCTGCACTGCGTTGACAACGAATACAAAATTAGGGATCATTTTTGGCTGCAATATCCAGAGAAAAAATGACTTTACCCGTAGCATAAGCTAAACTTGCACAATACTTGTTCCCTCTTTAGAGAGAACCGAGGTTGCGTTAGGTAAACAAGTACATTATATAGCACTTCAATGCTAGGAAGACACAAACCTTCAGCACATTTTCCTCTCGCTTTCTCCCATTCCTTCTCTTGGATAACCTTTCAGTTAAAGCGCTATAAGTGTCCAGTTATCTGTAATGTTTCTAACTCATTATTGGATTTAGGCTGTCATAACATTCCCTATCTCTGAGCTGTTCCCTCCTCCTCAGAGTGGGAGAGAGTAAGGATTGAACCATTGCTTAAATGTTTCTATTGTGTCTTCAGCATAATTGCTTTGTGTTTACAAGGACACAACGGTCAGAGATAACCCACCACGGCCTATGTGTGTGTGCGCGCAAGTGCGTTGCTGCCTCAATATAATGGATTTGGCCTTTCCCTCTGTCTTACCTTGTACTTTCATGTATACAACTTCACACGTACAGAGGACAACACACAGAGAGGATTTTATCAGCACAGCTCCAGAAACCTCTCTAATCTTAACCTGTGTCCATATCTTTATTTCCATTCCTGGCTTTACGATTGTGTGTCCTCTCTATTCCATGTGTGTCTTCAACATCTTGCACTATCTGCCTCTGCTTTAGATAACTCATTGATTCCTTTTGCTTTATTTATAAAGGATTAATTTCAGGGTTGGTCTTCATTTTTATTGCAATCATTACTAAGGACATTGGCGGCGGCTCAGCGGTCTGGTTAGTGCTTTTTAATGAAGTCAAAAGAGCCGGCGCAGAAACACAAATGAATAGCGGTTATACACTCAATGTCAACTCTAGACATATAATGCTAGCTCAAACCGCACTGCCAAAATAGAATCAATATGAAGCTCTATCTATAAATGAATCATCCATCATGCCTTACTGTATTAAATGGATACATGTTTATAAAGAGGAGCAAGCTTAGCCTGTTTTTTACTTTCATATGCTGTTGAGATATACTTTACTGTAAAGTCATGTAGAAATTAATTGCATTTACTCATGTTTAATGCATGGATGACACACTTTCACTTAGTTTGGATTTGTTTTCAGCTACTTCAGATAGTTAATTCAACTGTTAAGTTAGTTTTCATGGCTTCTGATTAGTTGTCATTTAGTTCAGGAGTGTGTCTTTATCCGATTCCTCATTTACTGTTGGGTCTCATTTGATAAAATATGTGTTGTGAGCACTGATCTATATGTCATCATTATATAGATCAGTGGTTGTAACTAAGTTGTTCTCTTTGTGTGATTTATCTTCCTGTGAATTTATTAAAGAATATATATATATATATATATATATATTCCAGTCAGAAAAATGTTTAACTACCTGAACTTTTTTAAATGTTCTTCATTTTCTCAGGTGATTTCAAACTGCTTGTGTCTCCTCTTTGTGTATCTTAAATTACCTACTGTAGGCTAAATCTAAATTAAACACAGGTGGGAGTAGCAGAAAATATAGTTTGAAACATGACTGGTGATAATGCTATGCAAGTCTTAAACAAAACAGGAAATCAGCAACTCTCTCATAATGGAAGAAAGTAAACAGGAAAGTCTATAAAGAGAGCAAGTAATCACTAGCATAGGCCTACTGTTTCTTGTATCTTCATTGTCTTTGTCTCTCACTCCCTCTCTCTTTTAAATCATGTGGCACTCAGATGATCGATGTGGATGAGGGGAGTTGTGATTGTTTATGTTGAGATGTCACAGCATGGTGACACTGATGTCTTTTTCTCTAGCCGTGGGCCAGCGTTAACGAGATATGTCCCAGAATTCAATTCAACAGACATTTCCCTGCCCATCACTGCTCACCCTCGGGTTTTTATATTTGGCTTTATCATATGATTTATAGCAATCAAAATATGATAATAATACACATGTCAATAATGGTGGTTGTTTCATGTGATAAAATTAATTATGTTGTGGCAAGAAAGGGAATGAATTCTTGGGGGAATTTTAAGAGTTGAAACACTGCGAAGTAGACAATTTAAGAAGTAATTAGCAGGGATTATAATTTGTGGGTTAATTTGCAACTAAAGTTTCTCATGTTTTTATAGCCTTTTATATGTTTTACATTTGTTTTTATGTTTGTAGTATGTTTGGTTTGACTCTGCTAAATCAAAACTGATAAATGTACCAATAACTGTGTCATCTTGATGTTTTTTCATTTTCCATATCAGACTTTTGAGGTTAACTGTGGGAGAAATTATTTGTCCCTAGTATGTAGCTAATATTTTAATGCTGTTTATGTTGTAAAAACTAGCCTAAATATTTAGTTAATTAAACATCTTAACATCATCTGGAATCACTCAAGTGTGAGGCTTACCTAATTTCTGGAAGTTAAAAAAGTAATAATATTTTTTTTAAGAATTATTTGTATTCATTTTGGTAATATTTGTAAAACAAGTTTACAAAAATTCAGAAACATTGAATATTATTTTTGAAGTTTTGAAGAATTGTATTTTTAAAACTGTTTAAAACTTTTATTTCATTATATTACAAATGCCTGATTTCTTTTTGGATTTCATAAAAGTGTGGAAATGGAACGATGCTTCAGCCGAGCAACTTTGAAATGAAAGGGAATTTTCACCAGGTATTGTAGACCTTTTTTTTTTTCTTTTTTTTTCTAGCAATGTTTAAATAAGAGCTTCACCACAGTCTTTATTGGTAGTTAATGTTTTTCTTGACTTCCCTGGGTTTAAGTGCATTTTGTGTTCTTTTTCTTTGTTTTTTTGTAGTTTGTGACTGATGAAAGAAAAGCAAGAGTGCTCACAGCACTGCAGAAGCAGGTGATTTGAGTCCCAATCAGTTTGGTGCAGACATATCCATCCCTCTAATAGGTCTTATTCAGTGTTCGGTCCTGCGGGAGACAAACAGTGAAAAAAGCCTTGTCCGAGACCTCCAGTCATCTTCACGGCTCCTGTATCCCTCAGCACTCTGTGGACATCACTTAGTCCTGGTTTATATGAGCCGCCAATTTAACTCAGGTTCACATTCCAAAATGTTTTTCCCCTGGTCAAGAAGGAACGGAGCAAATGAAGGAAGAAAACAAGACAAACAAGAGTAAGGAAATGAAAGAAGAGGTAAAGGGTTTGCTTTTGGCCGGTCTGTGATTGAGAAAAACAGAATTCAGCAAATGTGAAGAGAAATCCCATAATCAGATTTTGCCAACAGCTGAGATAATTGCAGATTTAATGTGGGCCGAGATGAAAGCCTGGGCTGAAGCCACTCTAAATAGGGTCAATATTTCTATGAAGGCATATTTAATTTGACGCACATGGAAATAAAGCTGTGCGACATAATCATTTATTGTATCAATGTCAATTTCATTTTTATTTGCCCTGGATATTGGCCTGCATTCTGATTTCAGTGTGAATAGACCCTTCATCAGCAATTCATTGCTTTTCCAGTGTGCCAAAGTCTAAGGCACTATGTAATGTATCCTCCGCAGATCCAAATTGCACTGTGAATTGTGGAGAAGGGACATGATGCCGTCGATGTCTGTGGCATGCCGCCTGCGGCCCTCCCTGATGTTTTCTCTGGCACTTGCTATGCTTTTATATGTCTCATTTAGTTTTAAAATGTAATGCTGCGCTGGTCTATGACCGTTTAACACTATTACACATTCATAGTGTGGTCACTGCCTTGCCTAATGTTAGTGATGTTTGTGGACCGCCATCATTCCACCTTGTCCATCTGTCCCCCCCTGCCGGTGCCCGGTTCCAAGTGGACCACACCGGAGACGCCGTAGAAGGCATGGGGTGGGGGTATCGTTGTACGATTCAGATCGGCCCTGCAACGGAATTATGATCGGCAACACCCTTCTCTCTGATGGAGACCGGAGTCTGCTCACCAATTCACCACTGGCCAGCGTTCCTTGTATGGGCAATATTGATGGCTGCATCCTCTCCTCCCTGGATTTCTCTCTGAACCTGCTTGGACTCATCCTCGCCATGGTGGAGCAAATCTCTGCAACCTTTGTCCATTGTGCTGAGAAACACAGTTTCATCGCAGTTGAAGTTCGCTCTTATTAATGACCGGTCTCTGGTAAACAAAACTTTAAAATAAATGACCTTTTAACCTCTCAAGTGCTGGATTTTCTATGTGTCACTGAGACTAGGACTAAGAGTTTCCGTTTTCATAACTGGTGCCTCGCTGCTGTCATTTTATAAACTCCCCGCGTTTTTCTGGCCGCGGTAGGGGTCTTGTCTCTAAACACTTTTCACTGTCGACATATCTCCCTCCTGGCTCATTTCACAGTTTTGAGGTAGGTGCAACTCTTACTATTAGTCTTAGGAAACCCCATTGTTATAGCTCGAATATGTCGTCCTCCTCAGCAAAACAAAGAATTTTTAAGTGAACTTGCTGTGCTAATGGGCGATTTAGTCACCAGGCATGACAAAATATTGCTACTGGATGATTTCAACGTTCATGTTTGCTGTGCTTCTAAACCATATGTTGTCGATTTTGTAAATCTGATTGAGTCTTTTGATTTTACTCATTTGAGTGGGTTTCTAGTCCAACACACATCCACGGCCACACCCTTGATCTGATTTTAACCCATGGTTTCTCTATTTCGAGTATAGAAATCAGTAGTGCATCTTTCTCTGACCATAGGCCTGTACTTTTCACTGTCCCTCACTGGCCCCATACTCAGCACGCTTAACTCGCTGTCTTACTCAAAGTTTTCTGCAGCCTATATGGTATACACAACTGTTTGGAGTCTAACTCTGCATAACCTGGATGCTGATGCACATCTTAATCTCGTATGTGCAACCTATTTTAGAATCCCTCTATTGCTCTCTGTGACAACTTTGGAAAGTTCTTTGTTGATAAGATCAAAACTCTAAGATCTCAGTTGTCTAACTCTGTATACACTATGCATGAGGTTCCATTATGTTCTTCCATCCGGTCTGAGTTTGAGCTGATTGATCTGGATTCATGTAATGAAATTGTTGGTCACCTAAAACCTACTATCTGTCAGGATATTATTCTAACTTTTTCCTGAGATAAATAATGGGCACAGTCGGTTCTGGCAATGTGTTGGTCATTAACAAGTGCCTGTCTACTAGTTCCTTCCCTAACAGTCTTAAAGTCGATGTGGTGACGTCATACTGTATCTTAAAAAAACAAACTTGGATCCTTCGTCTCTTTCTAACGTCCGTGTTGCCCCCTTGGACAATAACGACGACAATCAGTTCTTTTCTGTAGACTTATTTGCTCCGGTTGTTTTCTCTTTTGTTTCTGTGACAGATTTTGACCTCAATTTTAACATGAACAACAACATGCGTGAACTGCGTTCAACTACACTTCTTCTCTTTCTTTTTCCCACTAGTCTTCTCGACCCACAGCGCCCCCAACAGTATACATATTTTCTGAGGCTTTCTACATTTATACTGTTGACATTATATTAGTACAGATTATGTACAATAAACAAAACAAAAAAATAAATTTAACAATTATTTGAGGTCATTACATCCGTCCTATTTCTAATCTACCCTTTATTTCGAAGATCATTGAGAAAGTTACACTGATTCAATTACAATCATATTTGGCTGTAAATTCTCTGCATGAAACTTCAATTTGGTTTTAAAAGATATTCAAGTGAAACTACACTTTTAAAAGTTTCAAGCGATATTTTCAGTTATTTTTGGGATTATTAACATCATTAGCATGGCAACATAATGTCAGACTCTATTTGAAGGGATTAATCACATTTTATTTTTGTGTACATGGTAGTCTTGTGGTCCTGTGAGGCCACTGAGTACATGGCATGGGTGACAAAAAAAGCAAACCTAAATAAAATAAATATGGGTGATTTTAAGGAATTAGGAAACAATATTTTGTAAGCAAACACAGATCTTCATTCAGACATTATTCCTGCTATACAGTAGTTTAAAAATGATATTTGAAGCAACCAGAGAATTCAATTTGACCTGAAAGATGTCAGAGTTCTGTCACTTTGGTCTGGATGATTCCTGTTTGGTGACATCTAGGAGATCTGACACTCCTACTGTCTTGTCATTGTGAGCTTGCCATTCCGAATATACAGGGACCATATGCTTTTTCATCCACATGTGTCCTTTTTTCAGATCCTGGCACTTTGGTCTAGTTTGGTTTTGGAAGTTGTAAGTTGGGGTAGTGAATGCATGGGATGGGCATTCACTCATTCTCTGTGAGTTCTTGTCTCATTGTGTAAGTGTGCTGTTTCGAGATTGTGTGTAGCATGCGGGTCGTGTTTATAATCAACCTTGTGATTTATTGTCTTGTTCAGTGTAGCACGCAGCCTGTGGTTTCATGTTGTCATGTTTTGTATGGACACGCAGTCGTTGAGAGCTCTCCTTTGACTGTGTGTTTGTGTCATGTTTGGTGTGAGCACATGGCTTTCCTTTCTATTGTCTTACCTGATGATTGATTTATTTGTCACCTACTCTCGTCTTTTACCCTCCTAATTTCCTCTTCTATTCATGCCCCGTTTACACGAAGCGAAGACGCAGATATTTCCATGCAGTTTGGCCTCTTATTTACATGAAAACCCAGTTTTTATCACAGAAAACGATTATTTCTAAAATCGCCAAAGTGGAGATTTCTGATAATGTTGGTTTATGTATTGCCATATCAACTGGGAGAAACAGGGTTTTAGGTTCTCAAATGTCACATTATGTGCCAGAAAATGCTTAATTTCATGTGAGTCCCCAGTTTGGCATAGTTATGATGGCGCTCGACCGCATATGTATGTGGGTTGATGTACTGTAAAAGACAATTTTTTGGAAAACGCTGTTGTGTGCACGATGTTTTTATTGAAAACGGAGGGGAAATATTTGTTTCTCTAAATACCCGGCTATGTGTGAATGTGGCCTTCTTTTTTTCTGTCCTGTGCCGAGCACTTTGTTGTTGAAAGTACCCTCTCGTGTCCTGCCCTGCTTGTCTGTTTTGCCTGGTCCTGCCTAGTCTGGCTGGCTCTGTTTTCTCCCATGGGTCAGTTTTTGTTTTGTTTTGTTTTATCATTTAAATAAAAGCCCATTACTCCTTCTTAATCCTTGCCTCATCCTATGAGGCTAAATGTGGCTAGATGTGTCCTTATGTGTTAGCAATGTGTATGGGTTTGTAAATGTATTGTAATGTACAATGTAAAGCGACCTTGAGCTGCAGAAAGTGCTATATAAAAGCCTTCTTTTCCTGTCCTTCTCATTCTCCTCCTTCTCAAAACCCTGACACCTGGAAACTGGCCACATTAGTGCATAATCAAGGCTTTTTTGTGACATCACTTTTACCTCTCAAACGTTCTTGTTGCATAAAACCAGATTGCAAATCTTAAATTTGTTATTTTCAAACGACTGCACACCTCACGACCCCTTATCTCAAATCTAACTAACCTTGCTCCCTATCTCTCAGCCTCAAAGGAGAACAAGGACAGGCTCTTCTTTAGTGCTTAATAAGAATACGGTGGACGTAGCATGCTCACCAAAAAAAGAAAAAAGAAAAGAAGAACAGCTAGTGCGGCAACCATTTATAAGTGTGTCACTCCGTTTTTTTTTTTGTTTTTTTTTTTAGATATTTCCTCTCAATGAAATGATTAAAAGAGCAGAAGGACAAGTGTTTTCTGCACACTCAAATAACTGAATAAATGGTCTGAGGGAATACAAAGGCCTGGGAGCATGGTGAATCTTTCTCTTGTTCACAGAGTCCTCTAAATCTATGGCCCTCAGCTGGTTTTGCTTCAGAACCCACATTTTAACATTAAGATAGCAGAGTAGTTTATTATATAAAATTGAATTTTGATTTGCTTATGCTTTTGGTAGCCAGTAATTCACCACATATTCATCCTGCACGTTTACTGTAGCATTGGTTGTTTTTAATTGGTAACACTTGATTTCGATGGTCTCTTTTGAACATTCTGTTAATTATTAGTAAATTTGTATCTACATGTCAAATAACTCATCAATAGCTGCTTAATATCTGCCAACTCTTCATTGTGATGCTCCTCCAACAGACATTCTACTGACTATAAGTAAATTTGCAAGTACATGTCAATTTAAACCCTAACCCAATAATCTACTAATAGTTACTCTACTAACACTCTAATAATAGTTACTGGTGCAACAGTACTTACAGTATAGTCAACAAAATGTCCATCGAACATAAAGGGACTATCGAAAATAAAGTGAAGCCATTTTATTTTATCTTGTGTTAGCAATGTCAATTAGCTGGGACCCACCTTTCTCAATTCACAGTTCCATTTCTGGAGCTAGGATGAAGTTGTTGTTCTTGAAGAAATATGGCATTTCCAGTTCTGATTCATACTCTTCACTTGGAAGATGGTTCAATGCCAGGTCATCAAGGTGGAATATGGCACCCTTCAGTATATGAATCCAAATGCTCTGGTTGAGCAAGCTGACATGGGTGGCAGTGTCATGCTGGTCGTAAGTGAGTGTAGCTGTGCGCACCGGAGTGTTAACAAGCTATCGGTCTTTTAATTTGTTTATGGTGGACTCATTTGAGAACTGGCTCTTTCTGTCTCTGGCATAGTTTGATTCGGTACGCCACCGGTGAGAGTTTGTCAACAATCTCATGAGGTCCGATCCAGTGGGGCAGGATTTCTTTAACAGCTGATGGGATGCTTTTTGCGATGGCTAAATGAAGCTATACAGTAATATCAGACCTTGTCACCCACGTTCAGTTCCTGGTATGCCGCTTTCTGGTCATAGTATGCTTTCTGGCCTTCAGCACTCTTTTGAAGCTGTCGTTTGGCAAAAGCAAATGTTGTTTTCAGGTGCCGGCGGAGCTCGTCGAGGTACTGGTGAGTGGCGTAGGCTGTGACAAGGCTGGAGTTTCCTGGCTGATACAGCAGATGCAGTGGCAGTGTTGTGCACAGTGGCCACCTAGTCATTAGTTCGAAGGGAGACATGCGAGTTGACTCCTGTGGGGTGGTTTTAATGGCCATTAGCACCAGCGGGAGTTTCACATCCCAGTCTTTCTGGCTGGTAGAAAATTTGTGCTCTGGCTCTGAAAATTTGGACCCGACTGTTCTGGCTAACTTCAGACCGGTATCTCATCTTTCATTTTT